AATCGAAACGAAGCCATAAAGAGTTGGTCATTTAGGAGTTGGATAACAACTGTGTGGGGAGCTTTCTCCTTTTATTCTTTTTTTTTTTGGTTGTTCTTTTTGGTTGTTTTTTTTTTTTTTTTGGTTCTCAGCGTTTTGTGCTCATCGTTTTATATATCATGTTGAAAAGCCAGCCAGTAGATGGAAAATAGAAAATGCGTTGTTCATTCGTTAGAATTTTAAGTGGTGCTGGGGCTGCCGCTTTCAACACATTGTGGTACTACTTATATAATAGCCTCCGACGATGGTTGTTGTGCCACGTGAGTGTTTTCTTTTGAAAAGTGATGAGTTGATCAGCCTGGGACCCCCGGGAGACAGTGGGACCAAAAGTCGTTTGATTTCAAATAGAAGTGAGTTGTTGTGGTTGAAAAGCAACCATTTATGGCTGCTGATACCGCTTTACATTCTGGCATGTACATTCTGGCATTCGTATGCCAGAATGTAAAGCGAGTGTTGGGGGGTGAGAAGGGAGTGAGAATTGAGGCAATTTGCAGAGGAAGGGATGGGTGGAAAATTAGGGTTCACAAGAAGGCAGGCAATCAAGCCAGTGGGGATCCACATGACACTGTTGGGGGATGTGTGACACGGTAACGGTAACGTAGAGAACGAGTGGATGTATGTCGGGGTGGGTGGGTTACGATACTGCATGTTCGCATTCATGCAAGGATGGGACCAAAGCGGTGCGTGTAAATAAGTGAGATGCCCTGGCTGTTGTTTGAGTGTGTGTGGGTTGATTCAAAAATTACAAAAATTTATGAATTGGGGTGGGGTCGCACAAAGTGAGTGCCCCAAAAGGGTTTTTGAGTGAATGAGTTTTGGTGTGTTCGATGGCACCCAACGGACACAGCTGTCTTGGTCAGAGTGGTGGTGTATGTGTTGTGTGGGTGTGTGTGTGTGTGGGTTGAATGCTCTTGGTGCGCGGATGAGCGACGCCTGCTCCAGAGTCCTTTCTTAGTAAGCAAGTGAGTGTGAGTGTGAGTGTGAGTGTGAGTGTGAGTGTGACTAACGACGGAGCAGTGTCATCTATCTCCTCCATCTGATCTGCGTGAAAGTGCAATGAGACAATCTGTAAGCATGCAAGCATGCATGCATTCATGCATGAGTCTACTTGCACGGGTGTCTCTGTCTGTGCAGGTTGGTTGAGGACGTGACTGACTGACTGACTGGGCTTTATCAACGAGGGCAATCAAAAAGTGAGATCGGGTTCAGACACGCTGCTGCAGAACACGCTGCGCTGCGACACTGCACGGCCATGAGCATAAACAGCACACATGGCATCGGGAGTAAAACGCGGGTCCAGCAGCAGCAAGGGCAACTTGCATCCTTGTTTTGACAAACAAAAAAGGAGGGTTACACAAAAGCAGCCGCACACGCCACCGACGCAGCAGAAGGACCTCCCACTGTCCCCAGCGCCATCTCACACCCACGCAGCACCGTCTCGCATCACACCAAAACAGACTCACGCGCCCGTCGCCCTCCCTTCGAACCGCATTTTTGCCTCACATGGCCTTAATCAAAACGCACTTGAGCCCCGCAATTTAAAAAAGAAAACAAAAAAAGACCAACAAATTGAGGACCCTCTCAACCAACCAACCACCAACCAACCAACTCAAACCAAAACTCCCTCTTCACACAAATGATCCCGGCACACAACGACTGCGACGCTGCACCCAACTCCCCCGTCTCCTCCCTATCCGATACCGCCTCAGATGACTGCGCACAAAGCCCAAGCATGAAGCGTTTTCCTTGCAAGTTTGATGGATGCGAGAAGGACTTTTCCACCTCGTTGAGTACCCGCCCTTCTTTGTTTCTTCTCCCCCCCTCTGATCTCTGCTGTACGCAACGCCCGTGTGATGTGGCATACTCTTCCCAGCAAGCGTTTTTGCTGTGTCACCTCCCCCCCCCCCCCCCCCCCCCCCCCCGATCTCACCACCAGATCATCTCTTTCCTGCTTACAGACACAATGCGCACAATCAACTCACTCTCTTGTTTTACACAGCGGACAACTCTCTAGACATAACCGTATCCATAAAGGCATCAAGAAGTTTCATTGCGATGTGGCGGGTTGTCCCCGCACATTCTTCCGAGCAGACAACAGAGAGTGAGAGACCCCTCCTTTTTTTTTTTTTTTTTTTTTTTTTAGACTGAACGTGCATTCAGTTGACTAAATTCCTGTATCGTCGTCAACAGACAACACTCTAAATCACATCACCGCCGACTGAACTTGAAACTATTGCGAGAACGAGAAGCCATCGCTTGCACAGTGCTGACCAGCGGCGTGAGCCATGCCGCGCTCGAGTCGTCGTCGTCGCGTTCCCCAATCTCGACTCTGTCCTTTGACAGTCCGCCCCGGTCTCCTCCAGCTCTGGCAACTCGCAATGTAAACAGTTTGAGCAATTTTGGCGCGTATCCAATGTGCGTGCTGCAGCGGCAAGGGTTCCGATCCACGTTTGTCATTCCATCCAGCAGCAGCAGCAGCAGCAGTTACAGCGGCAATGTCCGCAAGACGTCCATCCAGTTCCTCTGTGAATAAGCTCCATATCTTTCTCTTCCATCCATCCACCCCCCATCCACCCCCTCTCAATCCTTGTACTATTTCTGTGAACATTTGTACTTTCCTGATATCCCTTTTTTTTTTTTTTTCTTTTTTTTTATTTCCTTTTTCCCGTTTCTTGATAGACGAAGGAACGCAGCGCAAAAAAAGACAAGCGCTCATTTTCTCTATATATATATATAAAAAAAAAAGGCGCGTTGTATGTAGATGAAGAAAATAAATGTGTCAATCTCTGTTTTTATTAAAACTGTAAACTTCTTTCGCCCTTGTTTGTTTATTCAACAGGGTTCAAATCCAATAAACCACATTTTACCGAAACAAAGCCGGCAACAACTGAATATATTCATGCAGCATCTGTTGCCAGCCCTCTCAGTCAGATTATCTGCATTCGTATCCCCGCGCATTTTTTTCCTATATCCATCTATCCAAATGAGGAGAGAAAGGGAATCAGTCGAGATTATTGCTGGCCACAGAGCGGATACCCCTCCCACAACATCTTTGGAATCCTCGAGCAAAAAACGAAGTGGGGGAACGGAAATGAAAGCGGGTAAATCCTGGCACATAATGAATCAGTCGCATCCGTTGTTGGGCAGACAAAAGTCCGCAAAGTTTCATCGCGAGCGGCGTGTTATTTGGTATTCATTCATTTAAGCGGGAGTTAAGTGCGGTTTTTGGTTGGGTACGGCCGTAAACGAGCAAGTTGAAGCGAAATTTCGTAATGACATTTTTTGACGTTTCCACTTGATTTTTTTGGCAAGAAAAAATATGTTTGACTCCAGATGCTGGTGATTCCCCCATCTCTCCGTTCATTCCAACGCCAGGTCATTTCGGCACAACGACGGTTTGTGCTGTGTGCAGACAGCCGTGACTCGGAGAGTTCCGGGGCACACGAAACAGCTTGTGTGCCCACTTGCCCACAGTCACGCTACCCGGGTCTCCAACATCCCGGACGGTGCCCCGTCATTCGAACCCCAAAATTTATAATCTACATTCTTTGCCTGACCACAATGAAATTTCTCATTTTAAACGAAGCGGGAAGCTGCATAAAAAGAGGGTGCGATAGCGAATCAGCACACCCGCAGTATTGCAAAAAACCTTGACCAACCCCTCAATTAAAGCCCGCATGCATCCAAGCCACTCTGTGCTTCGCCCTACTCCTGAATTTGACTACTTGCTGCCAATGACTCCGCTTTCCGTGTTGGAAGATGCCTCCAGTGTTGAAGGAAGCCAGTCTCCGGGCCAGAAGCACCGCTATGCATGCACATACCCAGGTTGTGGCAAGGACTTTAGCACCAAGTGAGTATAAATCGAGGCTCCTCTTCTTCACACACACACACACACACACACACTATCACTGTCACTGTCACTGTCACTGTCACTGTCACACCCCCTTATCCCTTAACATACACATCAAGTCTAACCAACACATGCTGTTACAGTGGCCACCTCACCCGTCACTACGCCATCCACAAATCCACAGTGCGGTATCCATGCACTGTGTCTGGCTGTGTCAAGAACTTTTCCCGTGCCGACAGCGCAAAGTAAAATGTTGTTTTTAACTCGCTTGCCCTAAAAAACATGGACATTAATCAAATTTATTGCTGTTACACAAACAAACAGCCACCACATTCGCCAACACCGACAACGTAATATCCAACACCAGTCACCTCATGTGCAGCAACAGCAGCAACAGCAGCAGCAGCAGCAGCAGCAGCAGCATTCCCATGATCTGAAAGACCCTCTGCGCTCCGTGTCATCTGTCCGACTGGTTCCCCAATCCCTTCGAGAGCACCAACAACAACAACAACAACACACTGCATCCGTGTCGCCTTTGCAACAACCACATCATCATCATCAGCAACAACAACAACCACAACCACATTTTATTGTTCCCGCATCAAAACCAACTTCATCGTCAAGAAACATTGAAGAGAACATCCTCCATCGCCAAGCATGCATAATCAACTGCAACAACCTCCCTCGATTTACTCCTTACTTTCAGCAGGCTCAACTGAGGCCAATTTCTAAAGTTTCCATCGCCTTTCTGGTCGACGAATAAGTTAATAAAAACATTCAAGGGTCCTTTATTTTTAAATAAGTTTTTTGTTTTTTTGGTATTTTTGTGCCCCTCTGTGACCGGAAGGTCCCTTCTCTGAAAGTCCCTCATCTCAACCGATTCTACGTATTTCCTGACATGGATGTCAATGTCGCTTTTATTGAAAAGGGGGGGAGGGGGTGGGGGGGTTGAAAGGAAGGGTCCGAAATACCTTCCCGTGCCTCCACATTGTTATTGGGACCTGAAGAATTAAACGAAGGGAGGAGCACACAACGAACAGTGTAAAAAATGGGACTACTTTGAGAATTGTGGAGCAACAAGCCAATAAATGAGCTAAGAGTTTTGATAAGATGGTCACTGCGAGGTTCGAACTCGCGGCCTTTTCCGTGTAAAGGAAACGTGATAACCACTACACTAAGCAACCATGTTGGAAGTTGAGTGAATAGCAATTAGATCAACGATGGCTCCAAGCAGTACTAGAGCTTTAAAAATAAACTTTCAACTGCCACGCAATTATCATTTGTGGTATCTTTTGTGGAAAGAACGGTTCAAAGTTTGTTTGACATTCATTCTAGAACGCTGGTTTAATAAGCCAAAAAAGTAAGCATGCAGCCACCTCAAAACGTAAGAGCGGCATTTGCAATCGTTGCCGCCGTGCTCGGTCTCATCAGCCTTGTTGCGTCCGTGTCGCTGATTGCTACCTCCGCAGTCAACAAAAACCTGAACAACAACAACCCAGTAACTTCAGCCACTTGGGACACTAACGATGGAGACAGAATTATTGTACACTCACGCGCAATTGGTGTGGATGTTGCGTCACAGTCTGTCAAGTGTCAGTTCTCAGTCTTCCCAAGCGCGTCCGTGTACGCGAACAACTCACGCCAGTCCGGATTTTACGAATCCAACGTGCCAATTAACCTTACATTTGGTTCAAGCACGTTTTCATTCTCGAAAGGAAGCCCGCTTCTGATTCAGACAACCTCTCTTCCAATGCTCGGCGACTCGTTTTTTTATCCGTTTGATGGCTGGGAATGCTTGATGCCCGTCTTTGCGACTTATGTACCTCTTAAAGCAACCACAGCCGTACCCTTGAACCTACCGGTCGTACTTGCCATTGTCGGAAACCCAAACGGCTTCGACATCAACAATGACTTTAGCCACATCAACGACGACAACACCCTTCTCGCGACAGATGCCTACGTCACGCTTCAAATACTGCGCAGCAAAACCACAAAAGGATTCGCAATCTTTATTTCCACAGCCATGTGGTGTCTGGTATTGAGCGCAGTAGCAGAGAATTCCAAAATACATGGAAGGTGCACTGCGTGACGTAATCCAACTGATTACGTAACACCCACCTCCAAGAGCGTACGCGATGAAGTTGGTGCAGTGAGAAAAAAGATTCAGTGGAACTCTGTTGAAGGGGACCGTATATTGCCAAGTGTTGCCGCCCCGTTGCACACCTTGCGTTCACACCCCGTGACCTCGCAAGTGTGTTGTTTCTTGTTTTCTCCCCGCGCAACGAGTCCCGGGTTCATCAAAAACAACGAACTCTCTTGGGCCGCATGTATACCACATCCACCTTGCTTTTGAGGGGTGCGTGCGTGCGTGCACTCACAAAAAATGAGGCTCGGAACAATAAATTTTTTTTTTCATCCGGTGGAAGAGACACGTCAAGCCCTAGGAAACAAAAAAAGAAAAAAAATTATTTTCTCAAGGACGAAAAAACCAAAAAAGTATTGGGGTCGAAAAACATATTTTAAAAAAAAAATGGAGGGTCCAACAACTGGGGCAGAAAACATGAACCATGGATCGGAGAATACAATGGCTCCGAGGCGGTACCGATGCAATGCATTGGATTGTGGGAAGGACTTTAGCACAAGGTGACTTGTTTGTCTGTCTGTATTCAAAGGGAGAGTGTTGAATTCCTCAACTGACACGAGCGTCCCCTCAGTGGTCATCTTGCTCGGCATTCACGTATTCACACGGGCATCCGTAAATATACCTGCGACATCCCGGGCTGTCAACGCACCTTCTTTCGAGCAGACAACATGACGTACGTTAGGTCTTCTTCGGGTTCGGTTGTATGTAGATAAGCATCGAAAAAAACGCTCAAGCCCGAAACCTATTCCAAAAAAAAAACAACAGACAACACAGCATTGCACATCGGAACAAGATGAAACGAAAGAAAACATCCAAACAAAGACAGTCCGATTCGGCGAGCGACGTAGTCCTTCCGCACAAATCCGACAAGCACCACCCCCCAGTTCCGGCTTCGCCACAAAGAAGCACCCCTGTTCCTGTTAGGGTTTCTTGTTTGGACCCATCGAATTTACCGTCACACCACCACGCTGATGAAAAGTCCACACCGCCCCGTTCTCCATCACCTTTGTGCGAGAGTCTGTCTGCGCATGAGAGGCTGCTGGCTTCTACGTTGGCGGCGCTGTCGTGTGCACAGGCAGCGCCGTTGCTTGCAGTGAGTGCATCTAAAACGTCAATAGCGTTTCTTTTGGAGTAAAAAAGAAGAGGTCAAGTAATAAAGTGGTGTGTTTGAATTATCATGCAAAGACAGTGACAAACTAACGTGTTCTCGCGGGGCAATCAAGAAAAGAAAATGCCAAGTCCTTGTCGCCATCGACACGCATGTCATTCAGCAGTCAAGATGGAGCGACTGCCACGGACAGCATAACAATAATAAACAACACGCGGTAGGAAGGGAAGGCATAATGTGTGTGTGAGTGTGAGTGTGAGTGTGTGTGTGTGTGTGTGAGTGTGAGTGTGTGTGTGTGTGTGTGTGTGTGTGTGTGTGTGTGTGTGTGTGTGTGTGTGTGTGTGTGTGTGTGTGTGTGTGTGTGTGTGTGTGTGTGTGTGTGTGTGTGCATGTATGCAAAGAAAGAGATGAAGGAGATTACCGGAACACATGTCGGAGATACCGGAACGAAAAAAAAGGCGTGCGTCCGTCCTTCCTTGTTGAGCGAAAGAAAAAAAAGAAGACAAGGAAAATTTGCATCGAGTCAAATAATCTCATCTACTTTGAATATGATGCATCCAATGCAAACACCCCTACAACAACAACAACAACAACAAATGCAAACGCAAATGGTAGATAACGACTTCCTGGCCATCCCCACCCATCCACGCATGCCACCAGCAACTACCGCGGCGACATCCACTCTCTCGCCAGCTGCAACTCCACCCTCCTCATCATCAGCATCAGCGACACCGCCTGCCACCACCACCAACACCATCTACACCCACACCCACACCCGCTCCACGACAAAGCCCCTCACCAACAGATCCAACAACGCACGGGCACCCAAGCGGTATCCATGCAAGTTTGACGGTTGCGGCAAGGACTTTTCCACGTCAGGCCACCTCAGCCGCCACTCTCGTATCCACATGGGCCTCAAGCGGTTCTCGTGCTCGGTGGATGGCTGTGACCGCACATTTGTGCGAGCAGACAATAGGGACCAGCATGACAAGTCACACCGGAGGAGACTCTCTGGCAACAGTTATTCATGCGAGAGTGACCATGCACCGCCGTCTTCGCCTGAGGCGTCGCTTGTATCAACGCATTCCATTGAGGCGGAGTCATGTCCGTCCCCTGTATCTCCTTGCAGCAGCAGCAGCAGCAGCAGCAGCAGCATGCAGTTTATGCAGTCATTGGGACATGTATCCAAAGCTTCGATATCCTTCTTGATTGACTGAACCCAGTACTAAAAAATAAAGCGCAAAAATAAGTAAACAGTCTTGATCGCATGTTTGTCTTGATGTATGTGATGTATGTGATGAGATGTATGTGATGAGAGATGTATGTGATGAGATGTATGTGATGTGATGTGATGGGATGTGATGCATGTGATGTGATGCATGTGATGAGATGTATGGGATGTGATGCATGGGATGTGATGCATGGGATGAATTGATGGATGAGATGGGATATGCTCTGACAAATTGGCTGGGCATTACCCAAAAAGTGCATTTCGATAAACAGTTCAATTTACTCGGCAAATGTCTGTCTGTCTCTCTTTTTGTTAATTCCGAAAGACAAGTGTAAAATTTCATGCATGGGGCTGAGTCAGTGAAACAACAATTTCATCCGTGCATGCATGCGTGCATGCGTGCATGCGTGCGTGTTTGTCTGTATTTGTCTGTTTGTTTGTCTGACTGACTGGCGCTGTCTGGCACTCACTCCCACTCCCAGTATCCATCCCTCTCCACTCCATCCCCTTCCATACATCCCCCTCCATCTGTATCCATCCCCTTCCATCCCATCCCACATCCCACATCCCACATCCCACATCCCAATCCCTTCCAACAAATCAAAGCTGCGCAGCATCACACAAAAAACCCAAATAAAAAAAATCTTGTTAATCCGCCCCCCCGTGTTTACCCAAACAAGATTTTCTTGTTCCGGCAACAAGCCCACTCACACCCACACACCACCCACAAACGCTTAAACAGAACAACACAAATATACAAAAACAGTGAGACATGGCTGACCACGCATATGTCTTCCCAACTCCTCGTTCCGACACACACACTCATCGATCCGACACTGCATCCCCTGACATTCAACAACAACAACAACATCATCATCAACAACAACAACACACCATGCGTCTGAAACGATACTCTTGCAAATTCCCTGGCTGCACAAAAGACTTTTCCACAAGCGGCCACGCTGCCCGTCATGCACGTCTCCATCAAAACCATAAACCCTTTGCGTGCGATCAATGCCACATGAGCTTCTACCGTAACGATAACCTCACCCAACATAAGCGATCTCACAATGCTTCATCGTCACCTTCGGCAACTACTTCGCCTACATTGCCGAATGTTGAGGAAAATCCGATCAGGCACCAGCAGCAGCAGCCTCGTTCTGTCTCTGCTGGCGCTGATCAAACTCAATTTATTCAGCAACAACCGCCGTTTTTGTTGTTGTTGTTGGGCAGTAGCAGTGGAAGCAACGCAGCAGCAGCAGCAGCAACAACAGCAGCAGCAGCATCGGTGGAATCAGTTGGACCAAGCGGCTTGCGGGAATACTCGCCACCGTTAAGTCCCGCTTCAAAAACAAAAACAAAAACAGGCACGCGCAAACTGTCAAAAACATCTGTCGAGTTTCTTCTCGAGTGACCAACCAACCAACCAACCAACCAACCAACTTTTGTTTTTTTCCTTTTTGAATCTATTCCGTATATTTAATTTTAATAATAATTTATTATTTGGGACACCATGCACCCAAAGCAAAGGGGTTTGTTTCTGAAACAATGGACCAGCAGACAAATTAAATCCTTTGTTTTTGTTTCTCTTTCTTTTTATCAAACAAGTTTTACGAATACAAAAAACCAACTTATGATATCAACCCGAGCTCAAATGCAACGCTTTCTGCCTCAACGATTCCAGACATTAACGCTCCATGCA